TCCTCTGAAAAAAGTGTCAAAAAAAACTTTGAGATTAAAAAAAATGTGACACCTATAATTACAAAAAAATTTGTGTTTGAGGATGAAAACAATGAAACCCTTTTATGTTGAAGAATGTCCAAGAAAAACACATTTTATAACTTATGAGTCCAATTTACTATAGTTATGGTTATGCACATACATGAAAGCAACATACTTAAATACTTTAAGAGATAAATTAGATACTAAAATGACATTGAAAAATATTTTTTAAATATATTTAATGATGTTTGAAAGTTCAATTCTCTTGATGGTATTTTGTTAATCAGGTACGTAACAGTAATAATAGCTTTACCCTATAAGTATTTAGGCATTTTAGTTATAAACATCGATGACCTCTATTTCAAAGAGATTTTTTTTTTTGTTACTCCATTCTATTGTGAAGTGTAAATACATGAACTTTGATGAATAATCCCTTTTTCTAAAAAATATGTTCCAAGAATATGATTAAAGTATTATTTCCTATTATCTTGAAACACTTGAATTTTTTCTTGAAATTGTGTTTCAACCATATTATAAAAATTTTTGAAAAAATGTTCAACATATGATTTTTCTATGAGTAGATAAACCCAACAAATCCTTTTATGATCATCAATTAATGTTAGAAACCATCTTTTCCAAGAAATTGTTGATGTTCTACAAAGACCCTATACATTATTATGAGCAATAGTAAATGGCTTAGAGGACTTATAAGGTTAAATAGGAAATGAAACACAATGATACTTAACAATTTGACAAATATCACGATGAAAAAAATGAATTTTAATTCTTAAATAAATATGAAAACAAGGCCTTCAAATAGTGAAAGTTAAGATGACCTAACCTAAGATGCCACAACATTATGTCATTGTTACTAGAGATAGAGATTGGCCCAAGAAGAGTTGTTTGAGCTTGTCCATATATGGTACTTTTATCTTTAAAATAATAAAGTCCACCACTTTCCTTAGCATTGCCAATCATCTTTCTCGAGTCCAATTCTTGAAATTCACAATGAGTTGAGAAGAATTTAGCATAATATTTTAAATCACGAGTTAATTTGCTAATAGATAGCAAATTACAATGGAGTTTTGGAACATGGAAGACATTACAAAGAATAAGAGATTTTGAAATGGCTATTGATCCTTTTCCAACAATTGCTGAAAACGAACCATCGATAATTTTAATTTTTTGATTTCCTGTACACATGTTATAAAAAGAAAACAATTTAGAACAACCCATCAGATGGTTTGTTACACTAGAATCAATGATCCATGGATAACTAGTAATGGAGGACACATTAAAAACAACAGCTTGAAAATGATTACATTTTTTAGCTAAAAAATAAGAGAAAGACACATTGTTTGAGAATTTTATAGATTGAAATAGTTTATACAATTGGTTTAACTGTTTTTTACTAAAAAGAGATGTTTTTGTGGCTTCTGCTTACTTATCGACACCTATTTGAAATGTTCTTGATTCACGATTGGACGATCTTGGCTTTCAATTCTGTGGTTTTCTATATAATTTCCAACATGTATCTCTTGTGTGTCGTGACTTGTGGTAATGATCACATCATATTTTTTTACTTTTTTTATTTTATCGTGTTTGTCCAAATTGATTATAAGACTATGTTTTAGTAGCAAGAGCAAAAACTTCAGTAACAATTGGTTATTTTCTCCTAACATCACCTTTCGTTGGCCTTCATCTCTTCTTACTTCAGCAAACACTTTACAAAGAGTTGGTAGTGGTTTCCTGCCAAGAATTCAACCTTTCATCTTATCTAGGTTCTTGTTTAAGCCTGTTAAAAAAATATATGCTGTCATTTTTCACCCTCTTCATGTATCTTATACTATTATTTGCACACTCTCAATCTTTTTTAGAACACAAGTTCAACTCTTGCGACGGTGCTTTCATCTCATTATAATATTCTGTCACCTTTTAATCACCTTGTTTAGAATGCCACAATTTAGTCTTTAACTCAAAGATTTGAGATAAGTTTTTCAGATCGAAGTATATTTCTCAAACCATTTTCTATACTTCTCTTGCAGTTGGCAAAAACTAATAGGTTTTCAATTGCTCTTATGGAATTTACAAGCCATGCAATTACTCAAGAATTCTCAGATCTCTATGTCTTTAATGTTGGGTCATTGCTAACTAGTTTCTTCACCTCACCTATTAAATGGTCGAGCTTTTCTTTGCCATCAATCACGAGCTTCATTGATTATGCCCATTCTAGATAATTTTTATCGTTTAGTTTGTAAACAGTCAATTGGACAAATGGATTTTCAAATTCATTAATAGTTACGGCAAAAACACCTATACTATTAGCACATGCTAATGTTGTGCCCTTTTCTTCAATCATGGTTGTTTTGACCATTATGATTTTCAAGTGAAATATCTATGTTCGGATACCATGTAAACAGAATAGAATATAATAAAAGAGAAAAAAAAGATAACTTCTTATTGATTTAACATGAGAATTACAAATATTTAAATAGACTAAAATTTTAACTTCATATCTACCTAACAACCTAATCACCTAAAATTTCAAATCTATTAATATTTAATAGTTTAGATTTTATAACAAAATCCTGATATTTCTATAAATACCAAAAAGAACTTGAATGAAATATAAGCTAAACTTACAAAAACAAAGACAAATCAATCATAATATACAAGGCCATGGAGACACGCACAAACTTGATAGCATTATCCTTTTTTTCTCATCATATACAAATTTTTTCCCAAATTTTAATAAGTGATAGTGAAAAGTGAGTCAATTTGATATGTAACCCGTAAAAATTCCAAATGCATTTTTCAATAATATACCTTTCATCTCAAATAACTTTGAGGTTTATATATACTTTATTATGTAAAAGTACGATCCAATACCTAAAAATCCAAAACTTGTTAAGGCCTTAGCTTAAAACAACCCTACAACAAAGAAAACCCATAAAAAAACCAGAATATAAATACACATGCCAAGCTCTCATCTCATTCGAGATACTTTTTATATAGAGGTGTATAAATGCTTTCTTTTAAGGGTTTTTTTTTTTTTTGTTTTTATGTGTAGGTTGAGTAAGTTACCAGTCTTTGACATTTCAATAAACTTGAATGAAAATTTGGTAAATTCTACAATCCTTTTTGTTTTTTTTTTTTATTTTAATTTTATTGAAATTTGGAGAAATTATCCTTTGAAAAACTAATAGCATCTTTCTATTAGCAATAAGAATAAAGAAACCAAACTTGCTACTTGCTCATGTTATTCATAATTTTATACAAAATTGTATATTTAATAGGATTGTAACCAAGTTTAATTAGAACATAAATAAGATTTCATAGATAATTTAAGTAACAAAAGCTTTTAATACATTGAATTGGATTTTTTTTAATTTTAATCATTTTTAATAAAAAATACTTACCAAATTTATTAAATGATCTTTATTTATGTCTTGTCCAACCAAATTTTAGAGTCTTATATATATATATATATATATATATATATTCATACCTATTATTTAAAATTTGATTTTATACATATGAATAGTGCATGACCCAAATTTAAGTCGCCTATCATTTTTTTTTTTGTTTTTTTTTTCTTATTTTTGTCAATTTTTATATTTAATAAATATTATTATAAAATTTATTATTTAAAGTGAGACCCACTTTACGCCAAACTTTTTTTTAAGATATTCGATACTAAGGATACATTGCATGCTTGCTTGTTTCTATTATTTTTTATTTTTTATATTTAATAAATATATTTAAGATTTATAAAATGTTTTGTCTCACCAATACTAAAGATATGTCATGTGTGAAGATATTTTTTCCTTTTTAATTTCTTTTTTATTATTTTTCTATTTAATTTTCTTTCTTTTTTCCTTTTTAAATATTTATACCTTTTTATAATATTTTACCTTAAGTTAGGTTGAATGGGTATATGGTCATTTTGTTTTCAAATAATAGACACTAAAACGGGTTGAATTTTTTTAAAAAGAAACGATGTTAGGTTAGAAGCATATTTAGAGTATTTTGTTTTTTGTTATTTTTATGTATATATAAAAATTTATATTTTATTATTCATTTAATTATATATATGTATTATATTAATAAAATTATTTTTATTTTAATTTAATAAATTAATATTTTAAACTCAATACAGGATGTCAATGTGACACATTTTGTGAGCTTTTTTCTCATTTTAATTTTTTTTCATTTTTTTAATTTGTTTGTTTTTGGTTTTAATTTTTTTATTGGATAAATTTATATATAAAAAAAGAGATCAATTAATATATTCACGTATATTCTTATTTGTTTTTTACCTTTCTTTTTTTTTTTTGTTTTAATTAGATCAATTTTATAAAAAATATATAATGAATAAAGAGGGTAAAACAAAAAAATTTTACCATAACAACTAGTGGGTGTTTTTCTTGTATAATAGAAAGTAAGTTATATAAAGGTGACAAATAGATGGATTTGAGTATTTAGGATTCAAGTTATGTTGGGTTCATGCTATTTGAATTCAAGCTATTATAAGGGATTGACTATTTGGTATTCAAGTCAAGTTTAGATCATGTTGGGTTAGTGCTATTTGAATTTTAACTATTCTAAATTCAAATCTTTCAAACTCATACCATTTGAATTTTGAGTTTGAGTCAAATTCAAATTGAAGTTAATCAAATCATTTTAAAAATTTTATATAACATATAACTATTTTAGCATACTTCTTGAGTTTGAATTCAAATTTAAATTTTTATGAACTTTAAACAATTTCAAGTTAGATTCATTTAAATTTTAAATTATTTCAAGTTTAAATTTTCTCTGATTCAAATCCCTTAACTTTTTTTTTTCCTCATATCTAATCGAAAGTAAGTAGTACATATTATAATATTAATGAAAGCCATTTTTATTATTACCATTAAACCATCCCTCCATCTATATAATCAAGAAAGCCAATTCTCATACTGGTGCAAATGAGACCCAAGATTTCAATAATAATAATAATAATAATATAAGTAAAAAAGTTAGATTATGTCATAAAGCTACAGTGTGATCGAAATACAATACATGAATAACATAAAACATTAAACTGTCGATTCGGATTCTCCCTATGATCCTCTGGTTAATGGAACATGGAAATAAAATCAATAATCAGGTCGCTCAAACTCTGTTGTATGCAACTGATTTGCTGAAGAGACGCCTGATATAGATAACTTGAAGTGCACTAACAAGAGCTAGCAGAATGTATTCTCCAACCGTATAACCTATAACACGCTTTCTTGTGCTCTCATTTGCTGCAGGCAAATACCAATCATAGAGGTATATAAGTAACACTATTAGAAAGTTTGCCATAATGGTATACAATGTTATTGGACATTGCACGTCTTTTTCACATGCTGCAAATGTGATATAGATGTCAGTGAATCAATCATGCAATAATCCATTACACACTAGACATTACTTAATGCATTTCCCTAAATACTTAGACCGATTTACTTAAGCACTGAGGTCTCTTTGAGTATATTCTTCCTTGAATAGAGTAGGCGGTAACTCTCAAAAGAATGATCAATTACGTTTTAGCTCCAACTCTTTGCACCACTTAAAACTTCTGCTGCTCTAGTCTCCATAGGTTAGTTTCACAACTCAACTGAACCTTAACCTGAAACTTGTTAAAGTCTTCATAGGTTTTTGCAGAAAATTTGGATGTGGCAGTAAAATTGAATACTAACAATGTTACCAGAGCATACCATAAAGAATGCACATCATTATCACGGTTTCTACGAAGATCCACAAGCAGCAGTACCATTACAGTAGAAATAAATACAAATGATCTCGTTAAATGTATCATGTGCATTTTAAAAATTGAGGCTTTATTTTCCAGTATATTCAACAGATGCCTAAGAACTTCCATATGGATTTCCAGTAGTTATACACATTAATTTTACAAAACTGTACTTAGCAGCACTAAAGTGACACATTTTATGGTATTTACTTTCAATTAAATGCATCTTGTAACATCCATGATTTTTAGTCAGAATTTGTCATTAGCAAAATATGGTGGCTGAAAAGAATCTAGATGACAATAATGGAAAAATTGACAATATAGTAGGGGTCATGTTGGTAAAGGTCAAGGCCAACGGTGACATTGTATCAGAACAAGGGAGAAGAATGAAAAACGAACAGAAAACATATTAAATGACAAACTACCCAAGTAGCCCAAAAACCAAGGGTAACATCTGCATGGATAACATTTAATCGTAGCTAACATACTAAAATAAATAAAACAGTAATCCTTCATTATCAACTCAATGCGAGAGCAGGAAATGGAAGCAACTTACTATGACGATGCCGAGCATCACGTGCTTTCAAGTACTTTTGTTCTGCTGTAACAGATTCCAAAGCCTCTCTCAGCTCAGCAATTTTAACATTAATTGGGTCCAAATGTTCTGTAACAAAGAGAATCGAAGAAAAAATTATCAAATGTGACGGAAAAAAAGAATAATAATATGTGATGTACATCTACAAATAGGGAAGAAAAAGCAACTTAAATGCTAGAGTCAAAGTTGAATGCCAATAACAATAGCAATTTGCAGCTTGCCCTACAAAGAAATTGGATATAGACTTCAAAATTTGGCAAGGAAAATATAACAAACCATCTTTGGCAAGATCATGCTCAGTGGGAATATGGCCAACATGAATATAGAAAGAAACGGTCTCTGGTGTAGAGTAGGGATTGTGAAAACAAAATTTGTACATTCCATTTCGTGGAGCCTTGAATTCAAACTTGTCCCCAGATGTCCCCTTCAAATTATGAACTATATTACCCCCAGGCGAAGTCACCTGCATTAGACAGATTATAATCAGCTGTTCTTCAAGGAAAATCAAAACCAATTATTCCAAATGACTCCTTAAACAATACTAACAACATAAGCTTAAAGTTCAACAAAACTGCATATCTCACAGATCAATTAAAATAAATGAGCCTAAATAATAAACCCTCTTTTCAACACACTAAAAACATACTACATTAACTACTAACCACTAAAATCAATCAACCATATGCCATAGATAAAAATTTTACTGATTCAAAACCAGCTAAACACATTGATCAAGAAAGTCCCCATATCAAAAATTTCAAATTTGATTAAAAAAAAAAAAAACAACCTTTAGCCAATTGAATTAAATATGCAAATAAAAAAAATAAAAAAAATCCTCAAAAACCAACCTTACTGAATGGAATTCGACACTCAGACAAAAAACAATTGAAACATAGTAAAAGAAACGACCTTTAATGAAAGGAATCAAATACCCAGATATCAAATCAACCCAAATTTCACGAAAAAAAGACGTCAAATTTAGAGATCGGATGATAAACTTACAGTGAAATCAATGCCGGGGTGATCAGAACTCCAGAAAATATCGTGGTCGACGACGACATAGTTGCCCGAAACCGTGTCCCCTTCGTATAGGACGTACTCATACACGCATTCGACATCATTTACGGTAACCGAAAGGGAGGAAGCGTTACTTACCCAATTCAAAAGAAGCAAGCCCATCAAAGTCCACATCTTTCCCCATCTCTTCTCCATCTTTTTGGAATTTCGTTTTGGGAAGTTTTTTTTTTTTTTTTTTTCTTTTTCCTGATTTGATTTCTTACAGATTTGCGAAGAAGTCAAGAGTCTAGAATCTGGACTTTTATTAGAGCTTCCGCCGCTGCGTCAGTTTATCACTTCCACTTACCGCGGCGTTTTATACGGTAGCATGGAAGATTTAATGATATATTTTTTAGATTTGTTATAAATACTACAAATAATAATATTTAATATATTATTTTTTATTCATTTTTAATCTATATTTAAATTTTTTATTTTTATTTTTAAATAAAAAATTTATATACATAAACTTTTTTAAATCTATAACATTTAAGCGTTAATTTCAATATAATATCCATCGATCCAATTAATATTAAAAAAATTTAATATTAATCTGTGATACAAAGTCTGTCGCACTAAAAATTATTAGTATGCATAATTACGAATGGAATAACATTAATACTCACTAAGCAAAGGTTTAACCTTTAACAAAAATGGAATAAAATTATTCCTTCAAATGAACATTAGATTCTAAAATAATAGATATTAAAATTCATTTAATATATATTATCTATCTATATAAAAAAATATGAATTTCAAAATTATTAAAAGAATTGATTTATATATATTTTTATATTATTTTGGATTGGAATCAATTTATATTATATATTTATATTTTATTTTTAAATTTTAATTATATTAATATTTTTAAAAATTAAAATTATCACCAATTTAATTTGTTTAATTTCATCTAATTGGATCATTTGGATTAGAATCAATTAATTTGAATTCCGTCCAATTCAAGTTTAGATCAATATTTAAATTTTATTAAATTCCAATTTGAATCGGATTGTTGACTGTTTTGTCAAATTGAGTGTCAAATTTGGGTTCAAATGGGTGGGGTTAGCTTTTGTCATCTCTATTTCTATTTATAATATGAAACTGCGACGTTTTCAGTTGGCTGCACACGGACGATGTCGGTTCGGATGTTTTATCCGCTGTAACTTATTTGACTATCAAAATTTGGTAATGTGCTGGCAGGAAAAATAAAAAGGTCAAATTATGATAATAATTTTTATTATTTTATGAAATTTAAATTTAAAACTTTTTAATTATAATTTATAAAAATATAATTTTTATAATATTTTAATTTAATAATTTTAATTTAATCATTAATCTCATCAAATTTTTATTATTAAAAATTTAACTTAGCAGTTAGCTCAATAACATAATCATTAATTTTACTGACATGGTATTTACTTTGCTTACGTGTTCATTTTATTAACGTGATAATAAGAATGAATGAAATCAATTATCAAATTATACAAATAATTTTTATGTTTATATAAAATTTAAATTTTATATCATCTAATATAATTTATAAAATTTTTATCTTCATATAAGTTAAATTTAATAGTATTGATCCAACTATTAATACGATCAATTACTCTTTGTTAATTTTGTTAATGGAATCATTGTCTTTTTAGAAAAGCAAGGTTTTAATTTAAAAGAATTTAAAAGATTTTTTGAGCCTTTTCAGATTTTAAGAAATACTAAATTATTTTTTACAATATTTTAAGTTTTTAAAAAATAATATTTCTTGAAATTTTTAGAAAAATAAGGTTTTAATTTAAAAGAATTCAAATTCATGAATTATTTAGAATTTTTTTAAAAAAATATTAAATTTAATTTTTTCTAATATTTAGTTTTTAAAAATAATATTTCTTTTATTTTTAAAAATCAAACTTCAATTTAAAAAAATTAGTTTGCAAAATTTAGAATTTATCAATTTTTAAAAAATATTAAATTTAAATTTTCCAATACCTTAACTTTAAAATTTAAATGTAATATTTTAAAAAATATAAAAATTTCTTAAAATTACAAGTATTTAAATTTTGTAGAAAAATCTAATTTTATTGAAAAATTAAAAAAATATCATTTTTTAAAAAATAAAATATTGGTAAATATTTAAAATTTCTAAGAATTGAAAATTATTTTTTTAAAAAATGAAATCTGATATTTTATAACAATTCAAGAAATATTTTATTTTTAAAATTAAAATATTTTTAAAATAAAGTTAATATTTTAAAATGAAGAATTCTAAATAATTTAAAATTTTGATTTTTTTAAAATTAAAATTTGATTGTTAAAAAAATTTTAAAAATATGATTTTAAAAAATTAAAATATTTTAATAAAAATTTAATTTAATTTTTTTTAAAAATTTAAATTTTTTTAATTTTTTGGCTTTGTTAATTTTTAAATTTAAAAAATTTAGTATGTTTTTTAATTTTCAAATAATTTTAAAAAAGATAACGGTCGCATCTATAAAGTTAATGAAAAATAATTTATTGCATTAATAATTGAACTAACATTACTAAATTCAACTTGTATTAAAATAAGATTTTTTATAAATTATATTAAAAAAATTAAAATTAAAATTTCGTATGAATATATCTATAATTTATAAAATTTAACAATCGGTTTTATTCACCCATATTATAATGTTAACAAAGTCAATTCTACAACAAAAATGTCAATATTTATATTAACAATTCAACGTTAGAATTTTTAATGTAAAAAATTTGATGAAATTAATTATTAAATCAAAATTATATAAATATTATATTTTTATAAATTATAGTAAAAATATTAAATTTCAAAATTTTTTAAAGTATAAGAATCATTATCAAAATTTGACCAAATAAAGAGGTTGTCCATTGTTGGTGTATGATTGGACCACAGAATTAAATAGTGGTTGGTGTGAAAAATAAAAATTTGAGAGAACAGAATAAAAGATAATGAATAATAAATTTAATTTTACAAATACTTTATATGTATAATTATTATTTAAAAATAATTAATCTTACAATAAAATTTTGTTATAATTAATGTTATTTTTAATTATATTTTAATGTTTAATTAAAATTAAGTTGTTAATTATTAATTTAATTTGTTAACTGATAAAAAAATATTTTTATTTGTTATATTTTTTAATTAATTTCATATATAATATATTTTTTAATTTTTTATAATTATATTAGTAATATTTGTAAAATTCAAAATATCTTATTGAATATAACTTTTAAATGAGCAAATTGATTATTAAATTATAATAATAAAAAATATCAATAATTGATTTTATTATATAAAAAATTATAATTAAAATATTTTAAAATTTTTAAATAACATAAAATATAAGTGTTCGTAATTACTCATAGTATTTACTTTATTGGTGATAAGTTGTGTAAAAAACAAAAAAATCATCATTGCAATGAGCACAATTTGACGTGATCTTATCCTTATCCTCGCGACGTGATGAAAAACTTGAACTGTAGCTACATTTTAGTTTCGACCATTCGATCACTAAAGAAATTCAATCACTAAAGCAATCATAAAAGGGAAAACTGGGCAGTGTAATTTCTACTTTCTAGCTGTCTGAAAATGGAAGAGAGAGTCCAGATGGAAAGAGTTAAACTAGGTGATCAAGGTTTGGTGGTAAATCAAAATCCAGTCTGATCAATATTCTTTCTCAACCAACAATTAAATTTTTATCTTTGTATTTTTTGCTTGCTTGTTCCTTCTTTTCTTTTCTTTTTTTTCTCTTTCTTTCTCATGTTTTTGATGTTCATAAAGCTGTTATCACTAAACTTGAGCTGGAAGGAATTGGATTTGAATGGCACAATATGGAAAACTTCTTCAGCTTTCGCTCCAAACTACTGTGTGAACTGAATTCCTTTTCTTTTGCAATGTTACTATGAGTTTTTGATAACATTTTTAGGTGAAATCATGGATAATTGGCCAAGTCACTTGAATCCGATATAGGATTTCTGACCTGGCCAAAAAAATTGGTCAAACAAAAAAAAATGGTGTTTACTGCCCTCGGTTATCTTCCCAATTAGACTTTCGTAGTCCTTCTCAGGAAAGCTTACTTGATATGGAAATCTCAGTTGTTAGTTTCTAAGGTTTAGACGAGATCATATGGGCAAGAACTTTATTTGGTCTTTACCCTGTTGTGCATCCTATTCTGAAGCTTGGCACTCCTTAATATGGAACATATTTTTGAGTAGACTTTGACGATTCATATATTGGTGTCGTATAAACACTAGCAATTCATGTATTTGTATAGTGTTTTATATAAAAATTACATGTCACAATTCGTGTTTACATCAAAAATTCGAAATATATTTTTTTATTTTTGATAAACTCATATATGATTTTTGCTAATGTTTTAACTCACATCACTTTCCTATTTTTTTTCGTATCATTTTTATGTCATATTTTAAATTATCAAGTTTACTTTTGAGTAACATTCTACAATTATGGGCAATAACCAATCTGATATAGGATTCAGGTTCAAAAATTCCATATGGAAACTCAATTTATAAGAACTTGATCAAGTTGATTGTGTTATTGAGCTGTACGAACATTAAACTTTAGTTTGCTATAATTAGTAGTATTATTTTGTTGAATAAAGACTAGAGTCTTTTCCCCTCATTGTCTTACCCTCTGGCCTGCAGGTTTCTAGACTAGGTTTTGGATGTGGAGGACTTTCTGGAATGTTAAATGCCCCTCTCTCACATGAAGATGGATGTTCAGTTATAAAAGAAGCTTTTAACGTTGGCATCACCTTCTTTGATACAGCAGATATCTATGGAGAAAACCATGATAATGAGATCATGGTTGGCAAGGTACTACTTAACATTACCTCCACTATTCCTGCTACCTGTTACCATCTCTTCACTTGAATGATAGAGCGAATGATTCATTATACTTAAAAATAACTGATATGATTTAAGTACGAGGAGATGCACCATAGCCAATTAGAATAATGCAATAAAAAATGTTTTTAATGTGAATTAAGCTTCTGCTTCGCTTATATTGGAAGAGTTTGATTTTGAATATAGAATATTTTCAATGTTTTCTATCCAAGATGTTTTGATGGTGAAATAACCTGAGTAACATGGAGAGTCTAACATACATCAACAAAATTATTTTCCTTGCACTTTTAGGCCTTGAAGCAGCTTCCTCGAGATCAAATTCAACTAGCAACAAAATTTGGTATTATTGTGTTAGAGGGGTTTCAATTTTCCATCAAGGGTACCCCTGAATATGTTCGGTACTGCTGTGAATCTAGTCTTAAGCGTCTTGATGTGGATTATATTGATCTATACTATCAGCATCGTGTGGACACTTCAGTACCAATAGAGGAAACAGTAAGTATTAACAGACCTTTAATCTTCTTACTGTGCATTTAGTTTAATTTGACTCATTGGATCTTGTGACTGTTTGCCTTGCTTTGCTTTTCATATGGTAGATGAGGGAGCTCAAGAAGCTGGTGGAGGAAGGAAAAATTAAGTACATTGGGTTGTCAGAAGCTAGTGTTGACACAATAAGGAGAGCTCATGCAGTTCATCCTATCACTGCCTTACAAATGGAATACTCTCTCTGGACCCGTGAAATTGAAGATGAGATAATTCCACTTTGCCGGTTCGTTAGATACTTTACATTGCTGAAATTTTTTTTTCCTTTCTTGGACTTGACTTTTGAGAGGCATTATTTATCCTGCCTTGCTTTCAATCTTTCCCCAAACCTATTTGGACAGGGAGCTTGGAATTGGGATAGTAGCATATAGTCCTTTAGGTCATGGCTTCTTTGGCGGGAAGGCAGTTGTCGAAAGTTTGCCCAATGAGAGTTTGATTGTAAGTGACCAGAAACAAACTCTTGATTAAATATTACTAAAATTTCATGTTCCTGTGTGTAGGCGTTTCTTTTCTTGTGCTGTAAGTACATAGAGATTTCTCTTCTGAATTTGACTCTTCTTCAACTTACACCAATACGTGGCATTACTGTAATAGGGGATGCATCCAAGGTTCTATGGAGAGAATTTAGAGAAAAACAAGATCATATATAATCGACTTTCCAATCTCGCTACAAAGCATGCCTGCACAGTTCCTCAACTTGCTCTAGCATGGCTTCTACACCAGGGTGATGACATAATCCCTATCCCTGGTATGTTTGAGGTTTTTTCTCTATACACAATCTCCTCTCCCCACAGCAGCCACAGGGAATTTGTTGGTTTAGTCCACTTGAAGGCTTTGCTCTATCTTGTGTAAATGAATTGATACTCTGCATAGTGCTGCACATACTGAGCATTACCTGATGGCTGTTTACTCTTTTTTCTTAGCTGCCTACATTACATTTGCAAACCTCTGTTCATCAACATGGTTTGCAACTTTATTTGAGGTTCTAATGATTGGACTGTGAATTTACACAGGGACAACTAAAGTGAAGAACATGAAAGAAAATATTGGATCCTTGGCACTGAAGCTAACACAAGAGGATTTGAAAGAAATTTGTAATACCGTGCCTATTGATGACGTGAGTGGTCCAAGAGAAATGGCCAGTTTATCTAAATATGCCTGGAAGTTTGCTGACACCCCATCAAAGTGAAGAAAATTACACAAAACAGATAAAATTCGTCTGATGTAAAAGATACTTCTACTTTTATTGAAACAGAATTTCTTGCTCATAACTGAGAGTAGATATCTTGGAGAAGAGCTATGAATTTGTGAGGAATAAGTTCTTGTTCTAACACTATCATTACTGCATTAGGACTTGCGCTATGACTTTTTATATATGAAAAATCTTTTCACAGTTGTTATAATAGTAGTTTGTCATTATGGTAATACAAGTAGATCAGACAATTTGTGTATTTATATTGTATTTATTTTTTATTAAATACAAACACGTATAAAATATGAAATTATCAGTATTCTCAGATCTACTGCCAAAGAAGGTAGGATCAAAATGTCAAGCCGTTAATTCCAATAGAGTAGCAAGTTAGTTACAGGGCACCAGACTTGTGGGCCTTGTGGCAACTTGACTTACGGACATAATATATCAGCCAACTCTGAAAATCACATTTGGCATTCATTGTACCCGAGAAAGTAACAAAATATTTATTGCCCTTCTCAAAACGGAGGATGTTATGCAGAATTGTTGATCAAAGAATGTTCGTGGGTTTACTTAAAAACATTCGGCAGCAGGTACGGATCCCGGATTTTTATCAGTGGGGCAAGTATTTTTAACTTAATTTATTAAATTTTTTTTATTAAAAAACAGATTAATATAAAAAATTCTAAATAAATTAATATGTTAATAATTTTTTTATAAAATATAATTTTTTATGCAGTAGATGCAATATCTGCATAACCAAAATTAATTATATAGTTCTTAACGAATAAAACCTAAATATTATTATATCATAAATAAATCATCTTTTGATATACACATGTATATATATACACATATGTGTTTATATATATATAATAAAATTTTACTTATAAAATTCTTAAATATATGTGAAAAAATAAAAATCAATATTTTTATTTTTATTATTTACTTTTATTTCTTATTCATTATAATGTGAAGAATAACAAATGCTTATTTTCTTATATAATGAAAATAATATTTTTTTATATACAATAAAAACAAGAATAAAGACATAAATCTATGTTAGTTAAATATCATTTTTTTTATTCTTATTAATTCATATTTTATATTTTATCTATATGAATTCTAAAAGTAGTTTATATGTTTTTCTTCAAAATTAATGTGCATATTATAATAAAATTACTTATCACCCAAAGTATAACTGTTCAATTACTCGATAAACAGGTTTTTTTTTTTTTTTTTTTAATGATCCTCAATTCAATTGGGGGCAAATATGAAAAATTTTTAGTGGGACAAAGCTTGAAATTTCCGAAATTTATGAGACTTTTATATAATAAATCTAAAAAATTGCGATCACTCGGCAAGCTGCCCCCACAGTTACATACGTAAATCCGTCCAAACTGATTAAGATGCTTCTCTGCGTACACGAGTGAGGTAGACAGTCACTTCTGGAAGTGGCCCCAATCAACATAAAAGGTTGGCGGCAGCATATTGTTGCCGTTTAAAAGAAAATAAAGTTGGTAAAAGGTACAACAAGCAATTGAAGATATTATTTGTATTTGATTTTTCCACCAGCCAGGAGTTTCACACTTCAAAATTTTTTGTTCAGCTAGCATCTTCAGCCAAGATCAGGTTGCTGTGAAAATGGAGAAGGAAAGCCAAGTTCAAATTCCGAGAGTGAAACTGGGAAGGCAAGGATTGGAGGTAAACCTTAGTTTTTGTTTTCTTTTCACTCCTCTCATTGAACTGGATTAAATCAATACCATAGAGGGTTTTCTTTGCTATACGAGGCAAATCAAATCCTTGGCTGGTCAGCACCATTTTTCACCAACTTAGACCATCCTGCAAATATGATGTTTTAGGAGAGCCTGATTGTTTGAATTTCCGATCATTTGGCAAATACTTCTGGTAATTGTGTAATTGGGCTAGACCTGGCGATTTTTATATATTTGTGGTGTGTTTCATGTAAATTTTATACAAAAATTATATATAATGATTGTTTGAAATAATATTTTTTATTTTTATCAGATTTCTATATGATTTTTATTAAAATTTTAAATAGTATTATTTTTATCTATTTTTTAATATTTTTATATTACATTACTGTATTGGGTTTTAAGTTGTTAAATCTAAGCAGGCTTCCCAAGTCCTTTGTATTTGATTAGTTAAGTTCAAAATAGTTATTCCGGAGAGTTGGTGTCCCATGGAAGGCTGCCTCTGTCTTGGCCTCTCTGGATGCCTTGCAGAATCAGGCTTTGTTGATAATATTTCTGTGCATGACCTTGAATCTTGATAAACAGTTTGGAATGCTTTATTTCTTGAAAACTAGGGTAAGAAATGGACAATAGAAATATGTTGGTTTCTGGCCAACAAGAAGGAGTTCAAGTTTGACTTCCAACGATATCTTTTTCTTTTTCTTTTGTTTTTTCCTCGTGGGAAACAAAAGTAAAGCTATAATTCAAGTAGTTTAGTCATGGTAGGTTATCAGAGCCGGCATTTAAAGTTGATCTTTGATGCAAGGTATAAATATGTATATTTATATTGGGCTGCCATACAGAGAACTTCTATCGAATCAAACAATTGTACAATTTGATCAATCTACAATAGCTAATATCAGTAAGTGAACAACAACTCATTGTCTTCTGATATGCTATAAAAATACAAAACAAGCTTAAGGAGGGGCAGGAAGTTCATCCTTGTCTATTAACCCACCAATCAGGGCACAATCTCTGTCCAGATTGCCTTGCAATCCAGTCTGCAGCCATGTTAGCACTATGCTTCACAGAAGACCATTTTTGATACTTACAACCTCTTCCTGATATTGTTAAAGTCAGTCAGAACTGAAGCAATTTGCCCAAACTGAAGCAATTTACCCATTTTGCTCATTGTTCTGTTGTTCCACCGCTGACAATACCAACTTAGCATCTGTTTCTCAGATGACATTGCCAAATTTCTCTTTAACTGCCAATAGATCTCCTTCCATTAAAGCCAAAGCTTCTGTCACATTAGCACTTTGCACCTTAACCGGTTTACCTATACCTGCTACTAGCTGACCATTGCAATTTCTTGCCAACACTCCAACTGCAGCACAGGTATAGATTCATTAATAATTAAATGACCACCATTACTAGAGTGAACTGTATGAAACAAGGACAACCTGGTAGAAAACCCCTAAAAGTTAGGTGGCTAAGGACAGCTCGGTCAGTGTAATTGTCAATTGTGATCTTACTGTCACTATGATGGCAATGGAAATGTTAAGTCCGAGGGAAGAAAAACAAAGATTCCTAATAATAGCATCCATCTTTATTTCCAGGTCTCTAGATTGGGCTTTGGTTGTGGAGGACTCTCTGGGATGTACAATGCTCCTCTTTCCCATGAAGAAGGGTGTTCTGTTATAAAGGAGGCTTTTTCTAAAGGCATCACCTTCTTTGACACATCTGATCTTTATGGTGATGATTATGATAATGAGATTATGGTTGGGAAGGTAAGTTTCTTACTTTAATTCCAAATGTAAAACCTCATCCTTTGCAGTTAGATCAAGTTCAAACATAAAACTAGCAAATTAAGAAATTATATAAAAAAGGAGGGGCAGGCTCCATGTGCATATAGGAGTATGATGTAAGGCACTCTATTTATACTTATCAAAGAATGCAGGTCAGTGAAACTGTTCAGAATAAACAGTTAAAAAGGCTTAAAGGCACTAATATGCTCAATAACTACAGCAGTGATCAAAATTTAATTGGAATAATGTATTGATAAGGATATAATTTGGTTACAATTGTAGGATGTTTCCTTCCAAAGCCTCTCCTGATCATATGTTGATACATTTTTCCATTTCTCAGGCTTTGAAGCAGCTTCCACGCGATAAAGTGCAACTAGCAACAAAATTTGGGATATTTAGGTTAGAGGGATTTAATTTTGGTGTCAAGGGGACCCCTGAATACGTGCGAAAATGCTGTGAAGCTAGCCTTAAGCGGCTTGATGTGGACTATATTGATCTTTACTACCAGCACCGTGTAGATACTTCAGTGCCAATAGAGGATACTGTAAGCAATACCATGTCACAAACACTTCTTTAAATAGATTATATAGTTCATTGACTTTACTTAATAAATCTAACATTTGGATGTGCCTTGTGCAAGACAGATGGGGGAACTCAAGAAGCTGGTAGAGGAGGGAAAGATAAAATATATTGGGCTATCTGAACCTAGTGTTGACACGATAAGGAGAGCTCATGCTGTTCATCCTATCACAGCCTTAGAAATGGAGTATTCCCTCTGGACTCGTGAGATTGAAGAGGATATAATTCCACTCTGCAGGTTTGTTAGTATTTAGCTCTGATGTTGCACTTGATTGAAGTAGATATGTGAGTTTCTTTAACTCTCATAAGAATTCCTCTTCAGCTTTTTGGCCTATGTACTATCTTTCTAACTGTTTTCAATCTTCAACTGTCTCCTTCCTCAGAGAACTCGGTATTGGGATAGTGGCATATAGTCCTCTTGGTCGAGGTTTCTTCGGTGGAAAGGCAACTGTTGAGAGCTTGCCTACTGAAAGTGTTTTGGTACATCAAATGCATATGAGTTAATGATTTCACATCTCTCTTATGAAAAATCTCCATTTTAATTCATATTGATGTTCTTGTCATAGAAATTGCATCCAAGATTCTCAGGGGATAATTTAGAGAAGAACAAAAATGTATATGCCCGTTTTAAAGACTTGGCAGAAAAGCGTAGATGCACCCCTCCTCAGTTAGCTCTGGCATGGGTGCTTCATCAAGGGGAAGATATAATTCCAATCCCTGGTTTGTCAGCCTCTTATTTTTGTTTCAAAGTACAATCTGAACATGTTTCTAAACTATGAAATTGCTTCCTGAAATTATGACAGAGAAGTTACAATCCCAAATTATACACAATATTTGATGTGGGATTTTCAGTAGTGTATGCTTCTTATTATTATATTTTTTTGACTTGTTTTTGCAGGGACAACGAAGATTAAAAACCTTGAAAACAACATTGGATCATTGGGATTGAAGCTCACACAAGATGATCTGAAAGAAATCTGTGATACTGTGCCAATTGAAGAAGTGGGTGGTGAAAGAGAGTATGATGTTTTTGCTGCTTATCGTTATAAGCTTGCAAATACCCCCAAAAAGTGATTGCAAATTTAAGAAAATTGCCAAAGTGAGAGCCGATGGAATCGAGAATTCCTTTGGTTTTCTTCTATGCTGGGTGTTGAAGCTAGAAAACTATAAAGGTGCCCTGAGTGCAGCATTGTGATATGAAATAATTGTATATTCTGAACCATTTCTACTTTGAACTCTGATACAAATTGCTGTTTATGTGATTCTAAATCGCTTCACTCTAAGAAAGTGGATATTTAGCGCTTTTAATTTTACAACGATGAAAAATATCATTGCAAAATTTTGTTATATTTATAATAATTTTTTATAATATTTGATTAATTGAATTTTTTAATATTTTATACAATGATAAATTTTATTGTTGTAATACGGCAACAAAAAATTGTTGTCAAAACTTATTTTAGTTGTTTACTTAAATTATTTTTTAATATTTTATACAAAAACAAAAAAAAATGTTACGCAAGTTTTTATTATATTTATAACGATAAAATATTATTATTGCAAAAAATTTGTTTTATTTGCAACAATTTTTTAATGTTGTTGTTTAAGTTATTTTTAATATTTTATACAACAACAAAAAAGTTCTTATGAAAATTTTTATTATATTTATAATGATAAAAAAGTATTATTATAAAAAATTATTTTATTTGTAATGATTTTTCAATGTCGTTGTTTAATTTATCTTTTAATATTTTATACAACGACAAAAAAAATTATTACAAAATTTTTATAATATTTATAATGATAAAAAAGTATTATTGTGAAATCTTGTTTTATTTATAATGATTTTTCAATGTCATTGATTAATTTATTTTTTTTTAATATTTTATACAACGATAACAAAATCGTTATGAAAATTTTTATCATATTTATAACTACAAAAAATTATTGTTGCGAAAACTTATTTTATTTGCAATGATTTTTTAATATCGTTGCTTAATTTATTTTTTAAATATTTTTATACAACAATAAAAATGTTATTATGAAAACTTTTATTATATTTGTAATGATAAAAAAAAATTGTTGTAAAATGATATAAAATTTGCAACAATTTTTTTATAATTATTGCTTAATTGATTTTTTTAATATTTTATATAATATTAATTTTTATCATTGTGAATTTCTATTATATTCGTAACAACAAAAGAATTTGTTAAGATATTTAATTATATTTCAAACTACTTTACGGTATTGTTAGTTATTCAAATTTTTAATATGTTATACAATGACAAATAATTTACTAACGGTAAAAATTATTGAGCAGGTTGCTTTTTAAGGAGGGAGACATGAAAAACTAGAATGGAGCATTATTTGTAGTAAAACGACAAATGCTTGAAGATTGAAAATTTTTAGTTTGATTCCAAAGCTAATATGAATCAATATTCTAATTTTAATATGATTTCATAAAATTTTAAAATCAATCTAAATAAAAAATCAAATTATAGATAAATAATTTAGTTGTATTTATATTTATATTGTAATATTTCAGCCTAAATGATAATTGGATTAAATTATTATCAAATTCTATTAATTTAATTAAGGGATTAACTATTAAAAGAAAAAGGGACCAATGTACTTTATGAGAGAAAATTTAACCGTTTTAATTTAAAGGAGAAAAAAAAAAAAAAAAACTCTCTCTTGCCTTTTTGCTTAGGGTATTTTGGATGATTGAACTTTTAAGGTTAAAATCAAATACCAAAGTTGGCTCCATCTTTTAAGGTAAGCAAAAGCCTTTATTTATTTGGAAGAATGTTTTATTTGTTGCTAAAGTTTGAGGAAAACTTAAAGATTAAGGTAAATCTGATATAATTCTTCAGGATTGGTTGATGCTAGCCTATTTGATTGGGTTTTTATTATTTAATTAAGAGTTAAGCATGATTATAGATTAGTTTTAAGGCTGGTAACAAAAGAACCCACTATTGTCGATTAAAGGAAGGAATATATATGATATGTAACAAGAAGTTTGCTATGACAGTGAGTTTGTATTAGTCTCTACGTTGATAAATAGAATTTTATTATATAAGTATTTATTCCATTGAAAAGTGTGCTGAATTTGCATTCCAACTAAATAAATGGAAGTTAATTTTGAATTTTTTTATAAAAATTTATTTAATTTTTACTTAAAAAAGTGTATGCTAATTGTTGCCACAGCAGGGAGGAATTATAATTTTTTTTTAATTTTTATATAATAAATTATGAATTGAGTCATATATATTAAAAAATGTTATTAAATCTATTTTTTAATAAAATAAGTGAAATTAAATTTTGAATCTTTTATGAATAAATATATAATTTTATTAAAAACTATTCATGCTGTTCATCAATGGCATATGACGTGCATTGTAAAAATTATTTCAATTAATCTATAAAAATCATGAGATAAGCCATATATAGTTGAAAGCTTATTGAGTGTAGCTTCTAATGCATTAAAAAGATTTTAATTTCTAATTTTATATGTTGAGATATGATCGTTTTAATAAAAAGGGCGTAAGCTACCATATATAGTTAGTTGAAATAAGGTTACTTTCATAAAATTTTATGTTTTAATTTGGCGTCATTTCTGCACCAAGGACATTTTATGTCTGTCAATATTTTCTCTGCCTTTGTGTTGTGTCTGGTGACTAAGTCTGCCTTTTTTAATAGGGTTATGTTGTCTATCTTGTCCGCGCAAGACGTGGTGGAAGGAACAGATCAGTTCCTAAGGGTATTGCGTATGGGAAACTTACAAATTAGGGTGTCACTCAGCTGAAATTTCAGCGCAGCAAGCGATGAATTGCAGAGGAACGAGCTGGTCGGAAGCTTGGTGGCCTTAAGGTTGTAAATTGTTAGCAGTTGAAGCAATTAATTACGGCATCTCTACTGCAACTTCTACAATTTGTTTTATCATTTTTGAAACTATTTTATTAATTTAGGTAACATGGTGGATATATGTATAATGATCTATAATATTAGACAAACAACTTATGTAATAGTTAAATAAATTTTTATATTTTGAACTTATAAATTAATGAAATGAAATTCATGTTCCGAGGCAATTTACTGCAACACCACATTAGTTTCTTCACTTTTTCTTTTGTTCTTTATCTGCTCTATATCCTTCATGAATTCGTATTGGATCGATGAGATGAGTTGTACTGCGAAGCACAATCTTTTTCATATGTTAATTATTCATTGGAAAAAAGATTTGATTGAGTAATCGTGTAAAGAGTAAATATCAATCTTTGTAGGTTATATCTATTTTCATATGGAAATTGATGCCCAACTTTTTGGTAGGATTCCTTAATTTAGTTCGGTGTTTAACTACTACAAGAAAATAGAATATTAGTGGTAGTTTTGTAGTGACGTTTTACTTACAAACATCATTAGCTTCCGTGTTTTTATAAAACTTAAGGCGTTTATTATCAAAACACCACTAAATATTTAAATAACGATATTGTTACTTATAAACGCCACACAAGACTTGATATTAACTGTGTTTATCAACTAAAATACCTTGAATAATCCTGTCTTAAAAATTTGAGTGAATACTAAAGACGTTTTTGACAGACAATGGCTTGAATAATCATGTTAAAAAAATTGATAGGGAATTATTGAAGGCATTTTTTATAGACAACGGCCTTCAATAATCCTCTCATAAAAAAATGTATGCAATTATTGAATACATTTTTTACAAGAAATGTTTTTAATAATTTCATAAAAAAATTTTACAGGCTTATTAAAGGCGTTTTTGGTCAAAAATGCCTTCAATAAATATCATATAAAAAATTTAGGATCGTACAGATATTAACCATAAGGTGGTAGGTTCGATCCATTATTTTAGCTTTTTTTGTGTTTTTTCAGAGATTATTTGTAATTAATTATTCTAAGTATTTTCTGGGCAAAAATGCATTCACCAATTGCTTTAAAAAATTTTGAAGAGGATATTGAATGCATTTTTGGCAAAGAAACGCCCTTAATAATCTATAGAAAAAGTATGAAACTGATTCTTGAAGGCATTTTTGGTAGAGAAAACGCCCTTAATAATCTATAAGAAAAATATGGAACCGATTCTTGAAAGCATTTTTGGCCAAATCGCCTTCAATAATTCAATCAATAAATTTTTAGTTTGGATTATTAAATGTGGTTTTTGTCAAAAATGCCTTTAATAATCTATACATAAAAGTTGAAATGGATTCTTAAAGACGTTTTTGGCTCAAAACGCTTTTAATATTTCACACAATAAATTTGAATGGTTGGATTATTAAAGGTAAGTTTTTTCAAAATCTCATTCAATAATATATTATTAGGGATTATTCAAGGCATTTTCAGCAAAAAAAATACGTTTAATAATCCATACGAAAAATATGAACAGATTATTGAAGGTGTATTTGGCTGAAAACGCCTTTAATAATCTATTTTAATTAATTTTTAGTTGGTATTATTAAAGGTGATTTTTTAAAAAATACTTTCAATAATCCATACAAAAAAGTTGGAATGAATTCTTGAAGGCATTTTTGGCCCAAAACGTCTTTAATATTCCACACAATATATTTTTAGCTGGGATTATTGAAAGTGGTTTTGGTTAAAAATGCCATCAATAACATTTTGTTAGAGATAATTCAAGGCGTTTTTTTTCTAAAAATGCCTTCATTAATCCCATCAAAAAAACATTTTAGGTATTGTATATGTCAAGTTAGTTGTAAGTTTATGCCTAAAAAATATTTGAAGTCAGTTGTATATTTATGTCCAAAAAATATTTGGTTTATATATGTGATACTATGAATTACATTTTAGAATTTACATAATGAACATTGTTGTATTTCAATAAATTGACCATACATCCGAATTTAAAACTGATAACATTGCCATATTAATATACTTTTCTGAAATAATTGTACTCAATAATATATTAAGTACACATAGTGTATTCATATTAAGTATACCAATAATATTAAACCAATACCCCAATCTACAAATTTAAATTTTTCATTCAACATGGCATGTTGAAAACATTACAATAATTTGTTCCTCATATATTTATATTCAACCAACAATATCTAACATCAAGGTCTATAAACATTGATAAATGATAATACATACTCACACCATTCTTTATGGACTTCATCCAGTTCCTCTACCGTGAAGCTTTCTTTACCCTTCCACTAAAAAAAATATCATAAGTAAATGTTAATAAATGAGAACATAATTTAGCTTTTTATTTTTTTGAAGATATTGCGAGTTTATGAAATTTATATTAACTTTGAATGTTGTGATCATAAAATTAT